TAGTGGAGGGGGGAGGGGGGGGGCTTTTCTGTCCACGTGTAGAGCGGTATGAGCCTTGTCGTATAATTGTGGGCTTGGAATGCACGTTTGTTTGTTTGCCCTGCGTGCTTGCCTCCGACCTGTTTCGATTCCGCGTGGTATAGTGAGTTGGGCCGCATGCAAGTATGGCACGGTATACCATGGTATGGATAGGCCTGGCGGGGAGCAGCAACGTGCCCCATCTTCGTGTCCGCTCCTCTGGTGAGCATTGGGGTATCGGGTAGGGAGAGTAGGGGCTGCTATCAGAATTATCGGTGGGTGGCGCGAGACGTTTCCCGTGGTGAACGACCATAAGGATTGGGTTCGGAGGTGATCCCGTTCAACATCTTCCTGCTCACTCTCGTGCGCGCTGTTGTTGTTCGCAGAGCATTCGGAGGGCGTCTCATTCAGCGCTGTTGTTGTTCGCTGAGCATTCGGAGGGCGTCTCATTCAGCGCTGTTGGTGTTTTCAGAGTATTCGGAGGCCGACGGCTCAGTTCAAAGATCTTCCGGATCACCCTTGTGCGCTGTTTTGTTGTTTTTCCGCAGGTCTCCGAGGTGGAAATGAGAGCGATGTTGGCCCTGGAGATGGAGCTTTCCGTCGAGGAGATCCTCGTTTACAGAGACGTGGCTAGGTAAGAGAAAGATAACCCCACTTTTCTGCATGCGATACACCGACGAATCGGCGGCGATTGTGTGCTTCGCTTGGCCTTCCAAGGAGTAGAACAGGAGTTCCTTCCTTTGTCCTTTGAGCACGTGGCATGTCCGTTGTTGAGCACGTGGCAACAGCGCGTGTGGTAGTAGTCGCCGCGTCAACCCGTTTGAAAGTGCTGTGTTGCACGACCTCAGCTTTATGTCGCGGAAAGGAGGACGCACGGCAGGTCTGTGTGTAGAGGCGCGATGGAGCGAGCTTGGCACGATGTCGCGGTTGCGAACTTTCGTTCCAGACCGCCTTCTTCGGACATGTGGCTCGTGCCACTGCTGTCTGTCGAAAACAGACATCGGATCCCGCCTGGCAGCGCCAACACCTTGATTTTTCGTCCTCAACCTCCTCGCTGAACCAATCGTTTTGTTTCTGCTCGCGCGTCCAGGAAAAACATCGAAAAGGGGGTCGCTGGACAGGCCCCGGCTGGGGTAGTGGGGCGTACTTTTCAGTGGCTTGCGGGAACTTCAGCTGCCGCTCCCAGGTGGGTTGTGTGCTGCTTTGCTATCCCTTTGTTTTGTAAGCGGCCATGTTCGGCGTGCAGCGCTCTTTTTTTGAGACGAGAAGTATATGATTCGACGGTGCCCCGTGTCCTTCAAGTATCACCGCAAGAGTCGCTTGCAGACTACTTGCACAGCGGTGTGCGTGGGTGTTTGGGTGTTTGTCTTTCTTCGATTGGCATTGACCGCGCTAACCGGCTGATGATCATGAGCATTTCGGTTTCAGCGGATTGATTGTCGGTGAAAACGTGTGTTCGTTCGTTTGCTCCCATGGCCTTTGTCCGGGACTTGCCGTAGACGCCCTACAAGGCGCCGACCCTTTATGGGAGATTCCTCCCCGTCTCATTATGTTTTGTGCTCCTTCACGTTCATGGTATTTTCATGTTTTGTACTCCTTTGCCGCGTTCATGGTCTTATTTATGTATTGTGCTCCCTCGCCGCGTTCATGGTCCTAATTGTGTTCTCATTCACGTTCATGGTCTTATTTGTGCCTTAATTAACCTTCGGCGCGTTCATGGTCTTATTTGTGCCATAATTCTCCTTCGGCGCGTTCATGGTCTGACTTATGCCTTGTGCTTCTTCATGGTCTTGTCTTACGCAGGGCGCCTCCCGGCCAGGCCGTGAAAGACCCACCCGACATGGGACGTCAATCGGTCGGGTCGAACCGATCATCGTCGTCGCCGTCCCCCTCCGTGAGAGGTGGAATGCCAGGAGATGGGGCCGGGTCTACCCCTGTGTCCGTCTCTGAGATGGACAGAGTGGACTTTTCTGCTTGGACGGGGATTAACGCGGTCGAGTTGGGGCAGGTGCGGAGGGGGCATGGGCCCGGAATCGATGTTTGTTTGGAGCAAGGAGCAGCAGCTTTCGTGTGTGTGTGGTACGGTACAGTAGTCTACGCAGGTTTTTCGAAGTAAGCAAACATTCTGGATAACGTATAGAATCGGCTAAAGTTGGGGTTACCGTCTGCGTGCCCCCTGCCTGGTCTCCTTTCGTATTAAACTTTCTTTCTGTGCGTAGGCAATCCCAGTAGTATTGTTTTGTTTGATGTCCGTGAAGTGGTGGTCGTGCTGGGTCTGGGTGTTTGGCGGGTTCGCTGTGCGCAGTTTGTGTTGACGAGGACATAGCTGCAGCCGACGCACCGTCGGCCATAGGGTGTTTGTGTGTCTGGTTCATCCCCGAGACGATGAGTAAGAGGATGTGACCGACATGCATATGACTTTGACTCACGCCATTTTTTTACGCGATTGTCGTCTTATCTGTCGTCTCGCTGTATTACTATAATAGGCGGCTAATTTGTTTCAGCGTCACTGGGTGGAGGCTGGATTGGCGGCGGAAGGTGAAGAAGACCCAGCCACTCGAAATCAGGTGAATTACTCGAAAGAGAACTAATTACTGTGTCAGAAACGTGTTATCGTCCTCGCTGTTACAGCAGTCTCCACGTTTTATCCGAAGGCGTTATTTATCGCAGACACAACGGAGACATTTTTCACCACCCCATGTATGTTTTTTTTTTTGTTGGGTGTGTGTTTCGAGGGCAGTTTATTTTTCGTTAAGACCGTTCCTCGATGACACCCAACCGAGGTCATATGGTAGCTCCTCTTCCCCCTCTCCCCCCGTCTTTCACGATGCGCGCTCCAAGGGCGAGCACAGCAGTGCTTGGCCTTTTAAAACCGATGCTGTACTCTGTCGGCGGTCAAAACGACTTCGGCCTCTTACATTGGTCCGTACGAATCCTCTCTCGTCCGGTGATGGCAACAAAAACACCAACAACAACAGGTGTGGTTTTCTTGGCAAGTAGACGTCAACGAGGCAAGCGTACAGTTGTCCCAGCCCCCGTCGCGAGGAGCTCGGAAGGAGAAGGTCGCGCCTGGCCCTTCCCCCTCCCCCTCCCCCCCCCCGGCCTCGGAAAGGGGGGGTGGGGCCCATAATGATTTGCCGCCCCTCCCGGGGCGGCGAACCGACAGAGGCAGCGGGGAGGCGGTCGTGCTCCGGCTTGTGATATCCCGGGCGCGCGTTCGGATGGGCGTCCGCACCGAGAAGGGCTTCGTGATCAGCGGGTCGGTTCACGCGGTGGAAGCGACCGGGGTGGGCGGGATCACTTGCTTGACGATCAACCCGTCGGTTCTCTGGGGAGGGGGGAAGGGCGGGGGCGGAGGCGGGAAATCGATCAACCACGGCGAAGGTGCGGGATTATTTTTTTTGGCGTGACCGCACAGCAGCAGCAGCAGCAGCAGCAGCAGCAGCAGCAGCAGCTTTGTTTTCGTTTTCTCTTGACACTTGTGGTTTAATCCGGGAAGACCATGGTTGTGGCTGTAGGAGGTACGGGTGCCACATCTGGTGTGTTCTTCGTACGCAATTTTCGTCCCTGCGTTTGTCGTAGATTGTATGCTCCAGCCGCGTTAACCTCTGGCGGGAGCGTTCGGGGTTTGTCCGCCTGGTCCGTTCTAAATGGCGGGTGGAGGCCTTTGTCGCTTTGTTCAGTCGCTGCTGCTCGGCCTGTCCTATCGCCGTCTGTGTAGCCTTATAGGGTGTTGTCAGCTTCCCCATCACCGGAGCGACTGCCTCTCGTTCGTTGTTCGTGGCCATATTCATCACTGCTGAGGGTCACATATGAGGACATGATCGCTTTGTGTTAGCACATATCACCAATGGGTTAAGAACGAAACAACGAGTTTTCCGCTGAGGACTACACCAGCAAGAGACTCAAACCCTCGCAACGGAGTTTCAAGCGAGCGTGGGCTGTTTCTGGCACGCACCACCGGCCGGGTTGCTGTCGCTCTTGCCTGATGTGCACGCGCCTGCCTCGCCATTTTGTAAACTCGTATGGCGCCCAGACTCAGCCCTGAACATTTTCATGGACGTGAAGCGGACGGACCGGAAGGCGAGTCTGGCCAGCGTGGCGGGCGAGGTGGAAATGGAGGAGCAGGGGGACGGCGCGAAGCTGCTGAAGAGCAAGGCAAGGATGTTTTCTGTTGGTGTTGTGTGTGTGTGTCTGTGTGTCTCTCTCGTATTTAGATAAGCGTGACGCAGAACTTGAATGGAAGAGTATTATGTATCGTGCTTCGGATGCAGAGACACCCAGTACCTGTGTCTAAATAGGGCATGGAGGAATCGCAGCACAACCGTAAGAAGACGATTGTCAGGGCTCGTTGAAGGTTCCGATTGTCTTGCTCACGGGATTTTTTTTTTTACATATTTCGCAGCTGTTTACTCCCATTGAATTGCTTCCGGTATGATCAGGTACTCCCTAGGTTAGTGCTATCGTCGTGCCACATTATTTTTGTTAATTGTCATGATTTTTAACTGTCGAGGATTTCGTTGTGCGCCAACCCTCCATTGTCCTACTCGCCTCCAAACAGGTGTATTCGATGAACCTCGAACTCGTGGCGCGTATGGCCCACGTCGAGCTCACGGTCTCGCCCCCGCTGCTCTCAGCGTTAGCGGACTTCGCACAATCGTCCAAGGTGCGAATGGACCCGCGACCAATTCGTTGCTGTGCACCGTGACGCGCGCGCACACACACGCGCACACACACCGTCAGCGCGGTCGATCCTATTTAGTTGTGAGAAACACCACACACAAGCCGCAGTACTGCCGTGAGCTCTGATGCCACTGACGCCGCAGCGAGCGGTACGCGGCACGCACAGCCGCCAGCCACCTTGAGGGACGGACGGACGGTCACGCTTTGCCGCCCGTTTTCTGCTGCATTAGTGGGGTCCTTATTCGGATCTGACCTACCTAACTACCTACCTTCCCGTGTCCTCGTTTTTGCTTGTTGTACGCGCACTGTTGTCCGCGGCGCAATTGGTGCAGGTATTGACACCGGGGTTACTGCTACCGTCCAGGTCCCCCGACCTCGACAACCTCCGCGTTCTGGCCGCGGGCTGCCGCGCCTGCTCCACCAAGGGCCACGTGTCCGACGTCCTGCACGCTCGCGGCACGAAAGACGTGGACGTTCGCGCGGCGGGATTCGCCATCCGCTTCGAGCTTGAGCCGCCGCCGCCGCCGCTCTCCTCTGGAACTAGTGCTGCTCGGCACCCGTCTCCTAGCTGGTGCTCTGGGGTCGGGGGGTTGCCCAGCGGAGTTAGGGCGGAGGATAACACAACGGGTCTGTTTGTGGCGGAGACCGCCGATGCAGGGGAGGCTTCCCCAAGAAGGAGCCCCCACACGTGCTTGGAGCTGACAGTAGGGTGCTGCATCTACCAGAAGGGGAGGTATCTCCTTGGGCACGCCGAGGGCGGCGAGTCGACGACAGGCTCGCCGCGTTTACCTCCTCTGGCCTCTTCGTCATCGTCGCGGGGTCCGCCGCCTCCGCCGCCGCCGTCTGCGCCTCAAGAGAAGACCGGCAGGGAGGTGGGTGGTGGCAGCGGCGACGACGACCGCGAAGAGGTTCTGAAGCTCGGAGAGAAGCTCGGAGAGGTGCGAACCGCGGGCTATGACAGTGTTCCCGACGGCGGCCGCGGCGGCGGCGGCCCGCAGCGCTTGTCTCCGCCCCAGACGCCGACCTCAGCAACCGAGCCGGTAGATGGCGCAGGGCAGGCGGCGGCACCGCACGAGGGTGCCAGGGAGACGCATTGGGGCGGCGGGCCGGGGCCGCGCCCGTGCGAGGGGGCCCTGGCCATCGTGCAGTCGCTCCGGGTGCCCCTGTCGGACCCTCACTACTTTCGAGTTGCCGATTTGTCCCTGTCTCTGGGCGTGACGGAGGAGGGGCCAGGCAAGGACGCCGGTGAGGAGGAGTTCGTGCAACGGCGGCGGCGGCGGCGGCGGATCCCGCTGGTGCTCGGGGGACAAGAGAATACCGACGAGGGGTGGACGGGCGAGCTGCTGGTGACGCGGTGCGCCGTGGTGGGAAACCCCAGGCAGCCCGGCACTCGCGCGGATGCCATGCTGTCTCGTATCAGGGTGGAGGTGAGCTTGTTTTAGCACAGCTACGTGTTGTACGCACATATGTTTTTTTCCTTTGGCCGTTAACCATGGTTGTCGCGGGTAAGGGAACGAGGGCCCGCGTGTGATGAGTTGTTGGGGCCGTCCCGAATCCTTGTGTGTATGATTCTCATAATAGTAGGTAGATGCCTTGGCCGAGCTGCTGTCTTTGGCTCTTGGATGTAGATCGACGTCCGGCTTTTCTCTCAATTCCTTGCGCGAATAATGTAGGTGTCCAAGGAGACCGTGGCGGCCATCACACTTCTGACGCTGTCCCTCAAGCGCGCCGTGTCAGTGCCGCCGGCGCCGTCGCCGCCGGCATTCTCGAGGGGCCTCTCGCGGGAGGGCATGGAAGATTGCATCCCTGCTCCGCAGATTTTTCCACCTCCTTGGGGAGTAGGGGCGGAAGGCAACGCCACCAGGCGGGGAAGAAGAAGAGGCGACCCAGCGGCGAGCCCCAGGAGCGTCGCCAGCTGCGCCACCTCCTCGACGGCGGGGGTGGGCACGGGGGTCGCGAACAACTGGTCCGGCGCCGTCCCGCTGCCGCGGCTGGCGCTGCTCAGCGGGCTCACCACCCTTCGCCTGAACGTCTCGCTTGCCGGGGTGCAGGCGAGGGTGTTGTCGAGGGGGCTCCGCAACGACGACGACGTTGGCCCCAGCAGCAGCGACTACGGGCAACGCAACAACAACACCGAGGGGGGCCACCCACAGGGGGTGGGGGTGACAACACCGTCCTCGGCGAAGGATTCGCGCCGCCACGGCGGCGCTCGGGAGGAGAGGGCTCGGCGGTGCGTGCGGCGGGTGGCCCGACAGCTCGTCGAGCGCGTGCACCCGGCGGCGGCGTCGACCGGGTACCGGCAAGCGTGCCGCCTGTTCCGGGACGAGATGGGGGCACTGGGGTACGACCAGGGCTCCCTGGACGGCGTCGTAGAGGCGCTCCTGGAGACGACCGCGAGGATCCGGAATCCGGCGACGGCGGCGGGGCACGAGGGGAGCGGCAAAGAGGCGGCGTTCTTCCAGTACCCGGCATCGATGCCGGGCCGGTCTGGACAAGCACAGCAGCAGCAGGAGGCGACGATGCCGGGAAGGGCCACCGTCGAGGAGGCCGATGCCCCGGGAGAGCAAGCCGACGTGAGGGAGTTGGTAGAGGCCGGGATGGCCGTGCTCTCCGATGCCTCAGTCCCCGCGAAAGGAGGAAGCGGGAGCGGCGGTGATGGAGCCGTTGGTGAGGAGCCGGTCTTGCTGGACATTGCGGCAGTCGAGGTGGGTTGTGTGTGCGTTGGAGGACGTGCGTGTGTGCGTGCGTGTTTGCGCCTGGAATTGGTGAACCACGCTGTGTGGCACGCTCGAGAGGAATTGCCTAAAATCGATCTATCCTAGCCGTGTCACGACACCTCTGTGTTTTCGATATACTCCTTGCTACATATGTTGGATATCTTTGATGTTTTGCAAGGCCATCGATCGACGAAAGTCTCTCCCCGGTCAGGGTACCACCGACCCTTTTACGCAATTCCCTTGGCACGCGCACGGTTACCATCTCCTGCTGCCTCTTTTTCTCGACACGCAGGCGTCCGGACTCACGCTTGCGCTGACGCGTCTGACGTACGACACGCGGTTTACCGCTACGGCCGAGGCTATCGTCGTGCGCGACTCGGATGGCGTCCGCATCCTCTCGGCCGGTAGGATCGGCCTCGGCGACGGCGGAGACGACGGAAAACGCAGCGCTGGCAACGGCATCACGCCCAAGGGTTCTGGGGACGACGCTAGCACTACTGCGGAAGGGGCGGCGAGCAACAAGAGGAGCAGCGTTCCCGCGAGGGTGTCCGCGTCACGACTCAAGCGCCACCAGGCCCGAAGGGGCCAAGAGCGGGACGCGACGAGCGCGAGGGAGAGGATCGAGGCCGCGGCGGCCACCCTGGCCGAGAACCAGAAGAGAGAGACGAGCGCTCTGCTCATCAGTTTCGTGGCGTGTGACAAACGGTACGGGAAATCGAACGCATATGATACTCACCACGTGTTGCGAAAATTTTAGAAAGCAAGCATAACCTCACAGAAAGCCAACCCGTTCGAGATATAACCTCAGTCGAGATTTTGTGTTGTGTGCCACCATCAATCACCGCCGATCGTTCACTTGGTCACTTGCCGCTGTACTGCTCCCGTGGATGGGTGCCTTGGTTTCGGTATTTTCAAGACGTTCGTTCGGATTCGCGGGTGCCGGTAAGGTTTCAAGTGTTGTTACGCGATTTCCCCCGATACACGCTGCTGCTGTTGCTGCCCACGAAAGATGGACATCGCTTGAATCAACCACACGCTTGCCCCCTGTTGTCGATCATCAGACACATTTTCGGTTCTGGCGGGGACTCTCCGAATGTCGTGGCGGCCGTCGGACGGCTCGCGGCGTCGGCGTCCCGAGGGTCAGCCCCGCCGCCGGAACCCGGCCTGCTGGAGTGCCTTAGCCGGGACCGGGAGCGCCGAGCGTCCGTGTCGATCGACCAGATATCGTTCGTGGCCGCTCCCAGCGGTTTCTTGACGGCGGCAAGGGCGGCAACGTCCCTCGAAGCCGCGGCGGCCGAGGCAGCGGCGGCGGCCTTGGCACGACCGGCGCAAGACGACGGCTTCGCGCCGCCCGGCAGCGAGAAACGGGCCGTGGCCGCTAGTAGTCGTCACCCGTCCGCTCCCGTCGTGCTCCGGCCGTCGGTGAGCACCTCAGTGCACCTGCAGGTCCGCGAATTTCGGTCTCTGCTTTCGCTGGAGAGCCGGCCGTTGGCGAGCCTGTCGATGACGGGGCTCGTGTTCGAGGCCTCCCGCAGCGAGTGGTGGGACCTGGACGACATCGACCCCTGCATCTTCCGCGACCTTGGGGAGACCAACGCGGCTGCTACTTCTCCCCGTCCCGGAGAAGAGCCTGCGGGCGCGGCTGCTGCGGAGAGTAAACCGATGATGCCCACGGTGGGGTGGCCCGGGTGGACCCGCGACGGCGGACGGCACCGTACAGCCCTCGGCTACCTGCGAGCCAGCCTGCAGGGTCTCGAGCTGTTGGACCTTACGGCAGACGGCCAGCTCCACAACCAAGTTATCTCCCACGAGGGGGCTGCCCCGGGCGCGGCCGCGGCGTCTCACGCCACCGTCAATGCTGCGCCCCCCCCAGCCGCAGCAGCAGCAGCAGCAGACCACAGGGCATCGTCGTCTGCGAGCAAGGGCGCGCGCGCGCACGAGGCGGCAGCGGTGGCGGCGATGGCGGCAGCGGCAGCGGCGGCAGCCACAGCGGCTGCGGAACGGCTCCCGGTTATTGTGGTGGAGCTCACTCCGGACACCTCCCGCGGGCGTTGGGGCGGCGGAGGAGGGAGAGAGATAAACGCCTCCGTGCGCGGGCTTCGCGTCTGCTTCTTGCACAGGTTCGTGGCGGAAATCACCAAGTATTTCGGCCCGGACCGGCTAGGCCCGGTGTTTGCCGAGGTCCGGCGTTTCGGCGGTGGCGGTGGTGGTGGTGATGGTGGTGGTGAGGGCGCGGTTGATACTGCGGGGAGCGAAGCAGAGAATGAATCGGTTGCTGTGGTGATGGGCGAGCAAGACCAAGCGGTGCCCGACAAGTGGTCCGTGGTCGGCTCCGAAGATGGGGGCGACGGGAATTCGAGGACAGATCAGGGTGGCGGTGGCGGCGGTGCCGCGAGAGTCGGAACGCCAGTTTCAGACGGGGCTGGTGGTGGTGGTGGTGGTGGCAAGGCGGAAGCAGAGGCGGGCATGCGCGTTACGGCGGTGTTGCAGAACCTCACCGTTGTGATTCCGCGGAGCACCCACTCGCGCGAGGCGGCGGCGGTAAAGTGCGAAGAACTCGTCCTCGAGGTGGGTCAGTAGGATAATGCGCGTGTTTTTTCCCCGGCTGTTCGACCGTATCCGTGTGCGGAACGCCGTCGGTTTTTGGGGGACTGTTTGCGTGGCGAGTGGCATACTCCAAGCTCGAGTACGGGAATCTTGGTCGTTCTTTGAGACGTGGTTCGACTGTTCATTCCTTCCAGTTTCAAGGAAAGCAGGACGAAATCATATAGGCTTTGTCGCTACGGTGGCGTATGCTTGGCACAATTAACTTCGGGGCTTGTTCCATCCTCTCGCCCCCGCCCCCTGTTGGTGAATTGCGGTATGTTGTTGACGCGAAACGTGCTTCATTTATTCGCCCCTTGTTAGCCTCCACACGTCTATTTCGTCTTGCCCTCCCCGGTCGCACCAGGTGCGGAAAAAGCGCGGTACGTGGAGGCTCCCTGTCGACACTACCAACGTGGCGTCAAGACGGCTGGAGCGAGAGACTCGGCGCGGCCACCGATCTCCGGGGCCTCATCCCGCCGCCGCGGTGTCATCGTCGCCCCACGGCGGCGGCGGTGGCGGCGGCGCTAGCGGCGGCGAGGGCGACG